GATGGAACTCTACTACGGCATCGACGACAACACCAAAAAGCTGGCGGACTACATCATCATCGACAAGGAGGCCTTCACAGGTAGCGGGAGGGGGGGCGTCGGCGCTGAGGTGGGAAGCCGCAGGGCCTGGGGGCTAAGCCGCCAGCTGCAATGCCCGGGCCCTGCGTGTGTGTTTGTGTCCCTGTTTTCAGAGAACGGGGAGTGGGCCATCCAACGGCCCCCGGCCCGCATTGTCCTGGCCGCCACGGACGGGCTGGAGGCGCCGGGCTTCTCCGAGATCCACTACTTCCTCATCATCCAGCGTAAGCCCCTCTTCTACGTCATCAACATCATCGTGCCCTGCGTGCTCATTTCCTCCTTGGTCGTCCTGGTCTACTTCCTGCCTGCCCAGGGTGAGTGGGTGTGTGTGTGTGTGTGACTGGAAAGAGAGGAGGGGAGGAGGGGGGCTTCTGGGTCGGGGGCATCCTCACCGCTCTCCCCCCCACCTGCCCCGGCAGCCGGTGGCCAGAAGTGTACGGTCAGCATCTCGGTCCTCCTGGCCCAGACCGTCTTCCTCTTCCTGATTGCCCAGAAGGTGCCCGCTACGTCCCTCGCTGTCCCGCTCATCGGCAAGTGAGTGGCTGCCAGCCTGCGGGGCGGAGGTTGGAGGGCCCAGGAAGCGGGCCCCGGGGCCCACCCTCTGCCTCTCTCTCTCTCTCTCTCTCTGCCTCCCGCTGCCCAGGTACCTGCTCTTCGTCATGACAGTGGCCACCCTGATCGTCACCAACTGCGTCGTGGTGCTCAACGTCTCCCTGCGCAGCCCCAGCACCCACCGCCTCTCCCCCAGTCTCAAGCATGTGAGGAGGCATCCTTAACAACTCACATTTAGGAGGAGGTTCTTCTTAACGTCCAAGGCTTTGCAGATCCGAATGGTGGTGGAGTGGGGCCGGGGGGTGGGAGAAAGGGAGGCCAGGCCGGTTTGGCTGAAGCCACAGGGGCGACGGCCCATCGACGTTGTCCAGCCTTTGAGACTGGCGGGGCTTCCACCACCCCCACAAAGCCAGCTCTGGGGATCTCTGGCCTCTCCACCGGCTC